ATATATATATATATATAATTTCTTATACAGATATATGATTAATTAATCCGAGGATAATTCCAGGACATTCTAGATAAAAATTTTTATTTTTCTAGGTCAATTAATTTTCATTATTTAATTAATTTTTATTACTTAATTAATTTTTATTGATTCGCACAATATTATATGTTTTGTATTCAAGTTAAGATTCTATATAACGAATGAATTAAAACACAAATAAATTTGAAACAATATTATTTACTTTATAAATAATATCAAATAAACATTCAGTAACAATAATCTTTCTACTATATTCTATTTTATAATTGCAGATATTAAATTCAAGTTTCCTATTAGTAACTTGTATTGACTTTATAACGAAAGACTTGTACCCAGAAATACAACTTGTTTTCATTAATGTATCCAAGCATCACCTTATTAAAATTATTAATTTATTGGCACTTCATTAAATACTTAGATTTCATAATCTCAAAGCTACTTGCATCTTTTTCATTTGCAATCATCCCGTCATAAAAATATCATAAAGAATAATAAAAATTCCAAATCAGTCCTGAAATTCCAGGAATTTTCTAGAATACATTAAATTCCAGGGTAATTCTAGGATTCAAGAAATTTAAAAAACACACACACACTGAACACCCTGCTACTGAACAACATACCTTGATGCCTTCCGGAGATATTATGCCTCCAAACTTGGCAGGCATATCGCGAAACTCCTCTTCGATCTGTCTTCCAATTGTAGAAAATACTAGAATATCCGCACTGCTGTATGCAGCGAAGAAAATCAGGAAGATAAGCCATAACAGGACTTGATGGTTCAAACAGCACTGGCGCATTTTGAAATCGGTCTAAACATCCACCTTTTCATCAAGTTCAGTATTTTCCCGAGATCTCGTTCAAATGGTTCATTCTACGATTGCTAGGTTTACTTTGCTGATATTATAAAGATTGGCATCCAATGCAGACAGAAGTACATCTTAAAAAGTGCAGCCAGGCTGCTCTGGAAAAAATAAATATCATTACATTCTTTCTTGTTAATTCCAAAGTTACATTCTATTGCTCAAATATATTCACGAAGTAGATCTCTAATAACTCTTAAATATTGATCCTACAATAGACACACGCGATACCCGCATTCTAAAGAAAGTGATTCACAATACACGCCCAATCTAAACAAAGTAAACAAACATGATATGCGCAGCCGGTAAAGTACTAAACGATTCCACAAATCGCGCTAAACACATAATAAAAATCTCTCAAAATCTCAAAAAATCGCCCCAAAATCCCCAAGACAAAGCGAACTTATTATCCACGATTTCTAAGTGGATCTCCGCGCAGCTGCCTCTGCGGTCCATGCGGCGGAGGGGAAGAGAAAGAAAGATCTTCGACCTCGTCGACGAGGAGCGCGGAGGAAACACCTGACGTCAACGGGAACGGTCGTTTACTCCGCGAGGCGAATTCGTGTTTCGTGTTGACGATTCTTGCTCGGAGACGAGGGAAACCGACAACACGTCGATATATACGAATCGCACGCGAATGAGACGCGTGCGTTGGCGTGCGTCGCGCGTGCAGAAACGGGTCAACGGGCTCGCTTGGTTTTGCAGCTGATCGTAGATAACCGATCGACGATGACGTCGCGGGGAGCAGCGTGATTTCGGCGCGGGAGGGACGTGGATGATACGTACTCCGAAGTTAATTGCGAGTCTCTCATCCGCACGCGACCATTAGTCACTCGACGTCGTGAACGTTCCTCGACCGACCATTGACGAGGACAGTTCCCCGGGGAAGAGGGGGGAGGGATCCTCTTCTCTCCAATATCTTCTTTTTCCTCCTTTCTCGAATATCCTTATGCGTCCAGGTTTCTCGGATTCTTCCTGAATAACCTGGAACGTCCCTGACGCACGCGACCACTCGCGTGACCGGGCGACGGAAGGGACGGGCACGTCACGAACGTCGCTTTCGAGGTTAGTTGCGTCTCATTCTTCGATCAGTCTTCCCGTGAACGTCGGACGACGGGAGGGACGGCGACGACGCGAACGGACAACGGCGGGGCGGACGATCGACAACGGCGGCGTCGATCGATCGGATCGGTGTCGCTCGCCGTGTGCAAGGGAATTGGATAACTATAATCAACTACAATGAGATGAGTTGTCAGTCAGTCGGATTCACACTAGTCGCACACAGTGCGACTCGTACTAGTGCGTGTGATCCGCGGCCAATCGCGTGCGTGCGTAGGCGAGAGACGGCCTCGACACGCAATTCTTTTAATTTGTTCTTTGTAGCCGATCTTCTAGACTTTTTGCTTTTTTGTCCTCTCAAAAAAGAGAAATATGTAATATTTAATGACATTTTTTATATAATGGAATATCTAATTATAATGTTATAATTGTTATTCTGATAATTATGTAATTATTATGTGTAATAGATATTATGGAAATTATATTATTATAGGATCTCTAATTATTATATTATTATATAATAATATCTTATTATATTTATTTATTTTAGCTGATTATATAATCTGATCTTATTACATAATTTTTATTGGATTGAACAATGCCGTATTAACTCATTTTATAACTTAAATGGTAAGTACATTCCAATTGTTTACAATTTATTTATACTTGATTTATTTTTGAAACCACAAAACTATTTTTTATATTAATTTTAATGTATTGATTAACGTTTTAGTGAAACAAAAGATGAAATGGATAAAGAAATAAATTGAGTGTTTAGTTTGCTGTTTAATCAGCGATTAGCACTTATATTCAAGAAATTCCTATACGATTTAAAAACTATAGAAAAAAATATTTCTAGTTTCAATAGCAAATACACATTTATTTTATCTTCATTAAAACAATAATCGCTACTGCATTGTGTTCAATCAAATAAAAATTAACATTGCCGAATAAAACGCCAAAGAAAATAAAATGGTGAAACAACTTTAATCAAAACATATTTTATTTTTGTGTGTACAAATTCAAAAATTTACATAAATTCTTGGCAGAAAATAATAAACGATCATCAAATGATATAAACCTGATAATTGTTCTATTCGTATCTCGTGCCATGACAGAGAAAGTGCAATGGCAGATCTACAAAGATCAATAAACTAATGAAGTTTGAGATCCTTCAGATCCTTGGGATACCACAATTGTTTCAATTGTTATCTTAAGATGTTGCTTCAGGCCCACCAAAGTATAGAACCACCTTTTGGGAACATGTATGTGAAATCAGTATGATGTATCTTCCATTCTCAAAAGTACAAGTGTGACAATGTAGTTTTACTTGCACTTACTACAACCACGCCGATATGTACCTCTTATAAAGATACGTATCAACAATGCCAAATGTCGCACTATATATTTTGTACTGTTTCACTTACAGAAAATAACAAACAAACAACGAGCGGCGTATATATTTTATACGAGCAGAAATGTACCATACAATCGTTATTATTACGACATGTGCATCACTGTCGTTTTCTTTTTTTACGATGCATTACATACAGAACAACATTATATACATTACAATATTTATAAAACCTTCGTTCGATTGTAATTTATGCAAGTTCGTTGCAAGTTGCACATTACGAAGTACGATGTGCAGGACACACGACTGGAAAAGTTTTATCTAAAACAACACATTCGATTTGTAGCCGCAGTATAAAAAGAAAGTAACAACAATCCGCGGTACAATTTATAACGACACATTTGTTTCGGAAAAAGCTGAAGAACTGAGATTAAAATCGAAATATTTGACGAAAGTTAGTTGACTCCACAGCAAAATGTCGTTTTTGTAAAAAATGTGTTATAAAAAATCACAATCAGAAAGACACGAATATAACGAAGCTAACGTGCGTATTCTGCTAAAACATTCATGTAAAATTGTCAGTCAAGATGGCGAGAATCCTGTTAATTCAAGGCACCGTCAAACAACATTCGATATCTGCCAATTTTCCCATGTAATTTAATGTAGAATCTAAGCTTCATTAACAATTATTTACAATTACCATAATTTTATCCCAGTAAGAATTAAAATCCGTTTTGTCTACACGAAAATCCATTGCCGCGAGCCACTGTACTTTCATCAGTAGTCTTTCTTTCTACCTGATTAAATTCATCAACTTGCAAATCTCAATGTATTTAGTATTTATGTAATACAGAATATAACTCCCTTTACAATTTGCAATTATTTACAATTACTATAATTTTATTCCCAGAAAAACTCGAACCCGTTAAACTTGCCCACGTGAGAACCTATCGTCGAGCAACTGCGCTTTCATCAGAATAGTCTTCTTTTGTGCTTGATCAAATCGATTGACCTGTAAATCGATATCTCTATCAAATGGCCTTCTCGTTGATATTCCAGTCCGTCTTGCTTCCTTTTCCTCTTTCTAAAAAATAAAATGTATATAGTACACTCCAGCGAATGTATGGAAATAATTAATTTGATAATTTGAAGAGTATAACTTAAAAAGATGAATTAAGTGTTACCTTCTTTTTCTTGGCAATTTTGCTTTGATGCATTTCTAGTAACGATCTCTCATGTTTTCTGCTTTTATCCACTTCCTTGTGATATTCATTTACATGTTTTTTCTCTGATTCTTTGAATCTTTTTGCTTCCTAAAAAGTGTGTCACAAACATAACATTAGTACGGTAGAACTCCATTTAACTACACTCCATTTAACTACAATCCATTTATACGAGTTCATACTCAGTTCCATTATACAAACTCTTATTAGACTCTTATTATCCGAACACCGTAATTCAGATAATAGAAGTTCGACGTGGTCGACTTTAATTTTCCGAACATCGACTCTTATTATAATTAACTAATAAGTACTGATAAAAAAGAGGCTAATGAGCCTTTATTATCCAAATTATTTGGTTATCGGAATTTTCTTGCCCAGCGGACAATTCAAATAAACGGAGTTCTATTGTATGTATAAAATTCTAAAACTTTCATGGTAACATAAATAGAACACCTCACATTTGTAATTGAAAACAGAGATGTATAGTAGCATATTTCTTATATTTACCAAGTCCATCTGCTTCTGAGCTTTTTGTGCTGGTGTATCAGTCCAACATGATCTATCCGACATATCTGGACCATCTCGAAGTCTGAATTTGCGCGGGCCTAATCCAAGATTAGCAGCTTGAGCGGGTGGTAACTCGGTCATCCATTCCTCACGTTTATTTCCGATATCCATCTGAAATATAAATACTTTTCTTTCTCGTTGATGAAACTAATAATCCCCAATAGCAATTTATTCGGATACTGGACAGTTGTCTTATACTAAATATCCGGTTTTATTTCTCTATTATTCTGTGTACAAACAATTTTATAAGAATACAAATAAGAGAGAGCAAGAATAAAAACTTAAATCTTTCCCAGGATAATTAGACAATAAAAAAATGAAAATATGTACATCTAAAGAAGAAAAACATTTTCTTTACCTCTTCCGAATATTTTTCATTCCTAATTCTTTGTGCTCTTAAATCTAATTGCTCGTGTACGCGGCTAGTTCTCAGAGCTGGATGATCCACAGGTAAAGGACCTATTGCAGAATCATCGTCGGAATTCGGAGACGCGATCAAACCTTCTTCACGCGATTTCAGAACGTCAGGTAGCATAGGGCCGATAATTCTATCCAGCGAATCTTTCTTTTGTTGTCGTTGTAACAAATGTGGTGGCAGTGCTGGCCCGAAAACAGCATCCACTGCATCTTCTCGCTCTATGCTTTGATGATCGTTTAACTGAGGTAGCAAACGAGGTCCAATAAAATTCATATTTTTTCCATCGACCTCATCGTCAATTTTATCTTCGAGAATATTTATCTCGGAATCAAGTTTATTATCGTCGGACGCATTAGATGCGAATTCTGGTGGTAAAAGCGGACCGTACGTGGGTCCGGCTTGATCCATATCCTTTTCGTAATCGTGTTCGTCCGAAGAAGCATTAGAGCACAAATATCTCTCTCTCGAGTTCGAACATTCGACATTACTATCATAAATAAGCATTCTTTCCTCTTCACGATACTCAGACTTTTCTCTCTCAGAGTCCATACAAGCCTCTCTCGTTACCAAGAGTGTCGTGTGCGATGCGGAGTTGAGTAAGGAATCTGAAACGGCACTAGGATTATTATTACTGGAACTAGATGCCGGATCATAACTCCTTCTTTTTACCTTTAATTCCTCCCGCAGTTTTCTCGTGCTGGCTTCGTCGTCGTTCTTTCGCTTTGCACAACTTTCCGACTGGATTTCGGAATCATGTCTTTTCAGCTTGATCTTACGCGAGTGTGGAGATGACGTTCGGCTCTCGGAATCCCGACTGTCGGACATGTTCTCATCGGTCTCCGATAGAACGTCGAATTGCGACAGATCCAAATCCTTGCAGTCTTGAGCCTCTATCGACGAATCCTTCTTAGTATTCTCGCTCGAGCGGGTCTCACTGTGACTGCGCTCTCGCTCGGTGTTTTTAGGCGAGGAACAGTCCCTTGAATGCGACCTGTTCTCCTTCGATAGCTTCCTGGAAGAGTCGTGCCTCCCGTGATCTTCTCGAGACCGATGATCGTCATTCGAGGATTTGACTCTACTGGACTGGTGAGATCTATCTCGACTCCTGTCGCGAGAACGATGCTTATGCCTTTCGT